TATATATATATATATGTATATATTTCTCATTTCGAATGAAAATACACCATGCTACCGATAGCAAGTTAATTTAAAGTAATACTATCTAATTTCCTTTAAAAAAGAAGAAGATATCAATCTGTATATAAAAAATCTCTTACCAAGCCAAATCTATCATGTAGATTTTGACCAACAAAGTTGAATATCGTATAGGATACACGTCCTTTAAAAAAATGGGGGTTATTCTACATAGATAATTGAAAATCTGATATTGGTTTGAATACAAAATAAACTTTTCGCAATAAACACATAAAAGTCATTTGAGAACATATTCAGGTCATCATAGTCGGTGTCGAAAAAATACGAGTACATTGCAAGATCCAAAGGGTGTGTGGGGTAAGGTTGACAAACTGAACTGAAGATGCATTGCAAGAATTCGAAACTTTCTAGTAACACCTTGAAACTAAAGCTAAGCTGACACCAAAATTAAAGTTAGTCCCTATTGGAAGGACGAGAGGCCATCTCAGTCTTACCAAGAAAATATTGCACCGTACAGTGTGTGCTGCAGCCTGCAGGGTTACAACGATTTTAACCGAGGAGAATCTTGTGCAGCTATTTAGTGTATAGTGTATTGGTCGAAACTGGGTTTGTACCCAAAGAAAACTAAGGCCCACGTAATACAACGCACTTCTGTTTCTGAATTTAACAGAGCTCCAACTAACCATTTTGTTATCCAATCATATAGGTTGGATGCCATTAGGTTTAAGTACTTTAGTGACTGACGAAATAAAACCTCAGAAAACATTGGTGCAATTTTGTAAGAGATGAAATTATAAATTACAGCAAACTAAAGTAATGCGAAAACTTCAGTTAAAACCGAAAAAGAATTAAAAAAAAAAAAGTACATTTTCCTGCCTAAAAAATTTCTACATGTAACAGTCTGATAGAAAATTCTGGCACGACTACAATTCGGAACCATAGTGACACTCCCACCTTCATACGCTAAATCAGTAACAAATGATAGCAGCTCTTTGGGACTCACCAGTCACCACTGCACTAACAGAACTTCCAACGGTTATTGCAGACACAACAAGTGACATAGGTTGTCATAGGTTCATCAGCACTGCGAGTCTGCATTTGGTAATAGGTGCACTTTCTTTGACCACATCGGCCACACTTAAATTGATCGGTTGTAGCTTTTGGTTGAGCTCCACGCTCACATTCAAACAAAGCTTTCTCTGTGATTTTCTGATTCTCCTGCTTCCTTTGCTCACTAGCCATTTCTGCTGTACTCATGTTGATTAGCTGCTCTGGCTCAACTACACCAAGCAGAACCTTTCTCCGGAAATCAGGGTTATTTGAATCCTTTAGGTTAAACATTAAGGACCTATACTTGACCTTATGTGCCCCATTTGAAGGACCCCACTTTTCAAACAATACAGACTCCACTGTCACAGCAACACGAATAGCATCAGCAGAATTGACAACATCTGCAAGATCTTCATCAGCCTCTCCAGAGACCTTGGATAAAGCTTCATGGAGAAGTTCCCTTATTTTGTCTCGCGTTGCATCATTAGATTTAATCATAGTCTTCAGCTTTGGAGGAGCGGCAGAACTGGATGACATTTTCTTTGCTCCAGAAACAGGCTTTTCATCCTTGGATATCTTTTCCACCTTGACATTTGCAGCACAATCAATTTTCTCATTCTTGACATCATTTTGCATCTTCTTTATATTTTCTGAGCTTGACTTTGGTGTACCATTCCTATCAATTTTCTCAACCTTGACAGGTTCACCTTTTTCAACCTTAATTGAAGGACTCTTTTGCATTTTCCCAGCTTTAGCCCTCTCCCCATTAGTCGACTCAACCTTACTATCAGAGCCCCCATTTTTGTTTTTGCTTGTTTCTTTGATAATTACACCTTTCCATATCTCAATTAGGTCAATAGCAAAGGCCCGGATATTCTGCCTTGGGTGCTTTGTGAGAACTTTCAGATGTTTGCCCACCTGAAAAATTACATAGAAAAAATAAAATAAAATTTTAAAACTTACAGCTAAAGGCATGAAATCAATACAGAATTGAGATCGGTTTAGTGTCCCATTGTTTTTTTTTTTGCGGGGGGATACCAAACTGACCCTTGAGGTCATCATTATACTCTCATCCCATCACATTCTGAGAATGCAATGTTATTCACAAACACAGGAGCCAACAATGTAAAACTATCCGTAAACATTGCAATTTTTTTAAACTCTAGTATATTCCAGTAAAAAATATTTATGTTAATATAAATACTCAAGTTTCTGCACTATCTATGAAAACATGGGGCCTCCGCTGTCACCTTCAGATTTTGAAACTAGGATTTAAAAAATACAAAAAAAACATTCCAATATTGATAATATGCTTATGCTCTGATTATTAAACAAAGGGCATATTTACTAAACAAGGATGCACCAGAATGAAATTATAAGAAGCGAATACAGAGTTTAAAAAAGAAGGGAGTCCATATCAAGGTCCATTAGCCCAAAAGACCAAAAAAGCACTGGAAGGATGACACATAAAAGGGAGTTCTGTAGAACCAATTCACTTAACTAGTCTTTATCCTGAAAGAGAACAAATGTTACATGCAAAAAAAAAAAAATACTCCACATCTGCAAACCTGTAAAATTTTATTGTTTGACAGCAAAATCAAATTTGTTAAGAGAAAAGTAAAAGTGAAGAACAAGAAGTTGAATTTTTCCTTAGAAATAAAAATGTGACGGGGTGGGGAGAAGACAAATGAGTGAAGGAATGAATTTGATTAACAGACTGATTTGAGAAAAAAAATAAATGGGATTTAATTTAACACAAAAATCAAAACGTGTTTGGGGCAGTGCCATGGATTTAGAAGTAGAAAAATTAACGAGATATGATATTTTGGGCAGGGCAGTGCCCAAGGCTACCACCCATTGGTGTTTGGGGAAGGTAGATGTATGCAAGCATACCATTGCAAGTGGAGAGGCAGTTTCCAGAATAGGACCCATGAGATAGGTGACAAGGCATCAACCTTATTGTTGGGCCAACAAGACCTAGTAATGAGGTATTAAAACTTACTCATAGTCTATTACACTATGCACAACAAGAATGAATTTGGTCCTCTCTTATTACTAAAGACCAAAACAGTGCTGTGTTACGAGAAAGAGCGAGTTTAATTATGAGAAAGAGTGAGTTTACTCATGACAGGGCCCACAATTACCAGTTAAGGCTCTACAGATTCCAGCCAAAGAGTAGTTTGTCATTTTCTCGCATTACACGACACTGCCATTTTTTAGGAAACGGAAATGATTTGAATCCTGACAGAAACTACCGTCCGCTTCATATTTTGTAAGAAACCGAAATTATTCAAATCCCAACAGAATTTAAATAGATAGCACCATATTTTGTAGGAAAAGGAAATTATTTGAATCCAAATTACTTGGCTGGCACTAACAAATAATAGATCCCAACAAGAAGGACACCCTTAGGAAGATACAACAATTAATAAATTTATATGAACTTCAACTTCATTCCAACATTCAGAGTAGTACTAAAATTCTTCTGTTAAGAAGTTAATTGAGGGAACACTAGTAAACCTTCTGTAACCTGACATTATCAACACTTCAAAAAGTAACACTTTTAACATTTGAACATCCCAACTGCCACACCTCAAAACTGCATGACCCAATTTCCCTAATCATCCAAAGAAACATTTGAAACAATGACTGACCAGAAATCCACCCCCGCCCCCTAAACACACACAACAACAAAAATGTGTGTTCTTACTCTTTCTACCACAAGCAATTTACACTCACAGAACCTAAAAGAAAAAGCCCCAAATGTTGAGAAGAACACAAATCCATTCCTTAGCACACATAACAAACCACAGAAGAAACTATACAACATTTAACGACTCAACCATTGTCCTCTTCCCAATCTTCACCCGGTCAAGATGTATTTTGTTTTTAAATGGAACCCTAATCACACAACTTATCATTGCATTCACTAGTTTCGCACAAACACAACACCAAATCATGTCCACGATTTCTCATGCAAAAAGAATTCAATAACCAACAAATCAAAACCTAAGAGACCGAAACTCCAAAATACACTAATAATAATAATAATAAATAAATAAATAAAAGCTGAAGAAAAAATGACCTGTGTGTTGACGAGAATCTTATAATTGACGGGAAATTTCTTGAGCTGGTCGAGCGCGTCGATGCATCTGCCCTCGTCGGCGTCGGCGTCGGCGGAGAGCGCGGCGTCCGCCGCCTTCTTGGCGGCCTGGTACAATTCGACCAAGTCCTTCTCCATGGAACCCAAGCAGTCTCCTAATGAGGAATGAGATGAAAACCCTAAACATTGAAAAGAAATAGCGGAAGCGAAGATTAGAGAAGAGAGTGAGAACTCACGAGAATGGAGCCTGCGGCTGCGGGTGTGTCGCCACTGAAAGAAACCAACAGAAGGAAAAGAAACCTCAATGCTACACCTACTCTCTCATATATCAACCTCATCCAACGGTTCCTGTTGCGCCTTGCGCCTTCCATCCTAAGGGATCGAACATTCTCGATCCGCTAATTCAGATAATTTTACCTTTATTCTAAACAATACTAACTTTTTTCTTTTCCATTTTTTTTATATTTAAATATTAACATGCTGTAAACATTCTTTAATCTTTATAGTCTTATCCACTTTTAGAAAATACAAATTATTCATTTTATAATAATGTACAATACTTTCTCATTATTAATTTGACAGCGTAAAAATTCATAATATATGAAAATTAAATTTTTATATGAATTTAAATAAAATTAATCGTAATTTATAAATGACTACTAAGATCTATTTTTGATATAAAAAAAAATTAAAAGTCTTTTTATTAGTGTAAAATTAAGACAACATACATAAAATTCTATGTTTGAGCCAATTATTATTGTATCATTTATGATATAATAAATTTGTTATTTTAATGATAATATTATTTTTACTAATCTAATACATAAAAATAAAATTATTTAATATAAATTATATTGCATTAAAGTATTTACACACAAAATTGACGTTTTTACATAATAAATTATTTTAAAATTTTCCATTTATAGTAAATTATCTTTTGAAAATTGAATATTCTAAAATGTAAATAATTAAAAAATATTTAAAAAGATGTTGAATTTGAAAACATTATTAAACTCATAATATTAATCAATTTATTATCCTAATTTTAGCAGGATAACTGAATGAAAGAGAAAAAGAAGAGTAAAGTATTATATTTAAAATTTTAATTATTGGTTGAGTATCTAGGAGAAGTAGGGTAGGTAGGTAGTTGTGGTTTTTCTGTTATTTGCTTTTTGGGTGGGAATTTAGAACCTGAAAGATACTTGGCGTCTGTCAAGTGTTCAAACTTCAAACGAAACCGGATCACCTCACCATTTTCTTACATCAAAACTATGACTATCATTTGCATAAGCAAGCAAAACCCCCCATTTAAATATTAAAAAAAATGCAATACAACAAGCCCCTAAATCAAGTTAGAAGGTCATGTTTGTTTAAATAAATATATATTAGTACTTGTGAAGGTGTGTCTGACAATTCTAATGTTATTATTTACTCACTTATCTTTTAATAGGAATAAAATCACAAAGGTATTATATTTTCTACTAAATTCAAATGTACGATACCAGAATATATCAATTGAAGTATGCGGTAATCTTTGCCCGTTTAAAATACACTTTTGTTCTTTTAATTTTTTTTAACTTTTTTATCTATGTACTTTAAAAGTTAACATTAAATTCATTTTATTTTGATTTTAGATCCTAATAGTTCTTTTGTTTAATTTTTAATTACTCCTGTACATCGGACATTAGTCTAAATGATTATAACTTGAACGACGCGTTTTAATACATTTCTGGTAACCAAAAACAAAAAATTTAAAACTATAGAAATAAAAAATTTAACATCAAAATATAAAAATCAAAACCAAAATGAAAACTAAAATATAATGGCCAAAATGTTTTTAAACTTGTTTTTTTAAATGAATAAAAAAACTTGTCTTTTAAAATTTAAAACTCCCAAAAGGTCGAAAATAATAATTATCGTGTACGACATTAGAATAAGTAATCTTATTTAATGTTTACTGCGCACCAGTATATTAAAAAAATCATATAATATTATTATAATGTTTCTCTTGCATTTAAGATAAACTAATAAGATATGATGTAAATAATTAAAATTTTGCTTTATTAAAATTACACATAATTTTTTTTAAAAAAAAAATTAACTCTAATTTAATTATTTAAATTTTACAAATTATAAAAATTCTACAGTTGGCTCGTTAAACATGATGGAGCAAGAAGGAAATTGATTTTTAAAAAAATCTCCGGTGAAAACAACCAGCACAGAACATTAAAATTTAATATCCAAATATCCAAATCCATAACATAAAACCGGTGCCAGAAGACCTCAGCAGAAAATAACTTTTATTCGATTGTTATTGTTTGACCCATTCTGAATCCAAAAATTCAAACCACTCTTCTCAGGTGCCAACTCATTTTTGCTCAGGCTCCGGCTTCTCCAAGAATGTCTTCTTCAACCATCCCCATGGCTGTTAATGATTTAAACAAAAAGGTTAGTAAGACTGCCCGCAGAATCAACCAGAAACCAGATATGAAAATGCATTTTATAGAAGCAAAATGTTACACACATAGACACAAATTACCAGAGAGAAAATCATATTAATACAAAGTCAGGCAGAATATTTAAGCCAACTTCTTGAAACATCCTAAAGAAAGTTGGCCAAGAGCACTGAATCGGGCCTGGTGAAACTGTACCATTCAAAAACTGAACATATCCCACTTGTAGACATATCCCAGTCCTTTGTATACAGTTAACTATATATGTCGTGTTCATGTAAAGTTATACGGAGATTAAATAAAAAAAGGTCAAAGACCCTATTACTGAGGTATAATATACTACAAGAAAGGGAAAATATGATTAAACACGAGGTGAGGATGACAAAATAGACAATGCCAGGAGTACTCATGTCGTTGAGTCTGGAGCATAACCAAATGCTGAGCAGTGAAAGGAAATAGAGGTGGGAATTCAGGTCATGTTCAACAGAAACAAGAACATACAATAAGATGGAACGATAGGTAATGCAGTTAGCCATGATTTTAAGGACAAAGGGAATGGGTTTGGGCTGGAGGTTTTGAGCATCATCAGCAGAACTCTAGATTTTTATCTTTTAATTTCTGCATTTTTCTAAGGTGCTAGTCTCCATTGTTTTTACCAGTAAAAAGCAGTCCCTATCAAAGGTTTTGGACAAACAACATTGAGATCAAGATCTATATCAAAGAGTTGGGTTGGGGTCATTTCATAGACCCAACCCAAGCACCATTGTCTCACTCAGTCACTCTTCATCCTCAAAGTTGAAGCAGGGGAACATGAAACGAGACACAATTTACTTTTTTTTCCTACTGGGACAGATACATCAAATTCAACAAACAATGCACTCAATAAGAACCCATCAAAAGTAAATCATATGAATCAATTTTTTTTTTTGGAAATGAAGTACAATTTGTAATAGAAGACTTAAATCATCATCACAAACAAAAACTACAACAAAATTTGTCCATCATACAACAGAATAGAAAGTTTAAACTTATTAAACAACATTGATTTTAGCCACTGGTGAAAACTATCAATGAAATGTCAATGAATCGTAAATAGACCAAGTTCTCATTAGTTTTAAAGCTTGGTAGAATGACGTTGATAATTTTAATTATAAATTATTGAATGTTATTGATACTTGTATAGTGGACCAAAAACCTTGAGTCAGTGTATCTAAAAATTAAAAAATAATAATTATATATACAAAGATATAAATATTACATGAAAAATGGGAAAACACTCGTTAGAAATGAAAAGTGAGATGAAAAAACCAAAATATAAGAAAGAAACTATCAAATAAAAGACAAAAACTAATACCAATTGAGAAATTAGGAGCAGTGAATTCAAGGGACCAAAAAACCCATAACTCAAGACACATACATGTATTATATTTAAAATCAGGGGGACAAATGCCCCCCTCAAGTGTACGTAGGTCCACCATGCCAAATTAATTTTAATCCATTTGAAATGTATGTCAAACAGTAAAAAGCTAAAATTGATTTTAGATGGTAAATAAACATGCACTAGATTTTATTAAACTATCATGTAAATACTTGTATACCTTCCTAATGTTTCAGCAAGGAAGTGAAGTGCTAGAGCTAAAAGAGATTAATATCACACAGAACTCATATCTCCATAGCATTAATGAACATCAGGTAAGAAGCTATGCCTGCCCGCATTGTTATCTTCTTCCTCTTTCTTCACATTCAAACCACATGAAAGGGAGAAGAGGGGGAAGCCACGGAAACTCAATTCAGTACACGGATTCCATCCCTCAATTTTTTTTTATACATATATTTTTAAGAAGGCTTCATATGCTTTAAGGGGATAACAAACTGAAATTTGTATGAAAAACTCACGCCCTAATTTTAAGGCTCGAGGTTAAGTGTATATAACATTGGTATGCAATTGCAAACAGATATCCAAACGTTCACGCAATTTATAACCAGACTGCAACTACGAAGTGATTGTAGAACGAACAAACAAGACAGGTCCACCAGCGATCAGCTTGAAAAATATTCGAATTTAGGTTAAAACACATAGAAACAGAAATTGGAGACAGAAAATTTCAGATCAGTGTGTAACGCCGCCAAATGCGATGAGCCAAACAAGGCATGGTGAACAAATCCTTAACATAATTCATAATCCTCCGAATGCAAATTCGAAGGCCAGAAATTAAAAAAAAAATGAATCGAAATAACCTGAACGAGGTAGAGAGCGCCGGTGGCCGCAGCGACGCCCCACATGGCGGCGGCTTTGACGTCGGTGGGTTGGAGACGGAGCTTCGCAGGTAAACCGGCCATTTTCTGGAATCTCAAATCTCAAATCTAAAGTGCGAAAGAAAGGAACCCTAGCAGCAGCGCTTCAATTTCAATTAATTCTAAAAGGCTGGAGAATTATTTGTAGTTTTTAGACGAAACAATGTCGGGGAATTTTCCTTTCAATAATTTAATATTATTCTCTTTAGAAATAGTATTTAATCACTTAAAGTCAAGAGAAAATAGTTTTAGCGTCCAACTAAACATTGGTCGATAGTGTGAAATTTTGCCTTGCAATTTGCATCATCATTAGATTCTAGAGTTAGATGGTTAAATAAGTTCAAATAATTAACTATTTCGCTTAAATATTATTTTAGCTCCTATAAAATTAATAAACTTTAATTTTAATTCTTGTAAAAAAAATATTTCTTTTTTATTTTTATAAAATTTAAATTATTATTTTTAGTTCTTATTTTTATGTGATTTTTTTAACTACTTTCATCTATTAAAAAGTTAAGTAATCATTTTAAGTTTTACCTACAAACATATTGATATCATATTAATATTTAATATTTTTAAAAAAAATTTATAAATCTTTAAAATAAATGTTATTTATCCACCTTAAAATAATTATTGAAAACTAAAAATAGTTGATTTAGATTTTAGAGGGATGAAAAGTAAATAAAAATATTTTACAAGAATCAAAATCAAAATTTAATCACTTTACAAGGATAAAAATAATATTTATAAATTTTAGAAAAATAAAAAATAATTTTTTTTTTAGAATAATTAAAATCAAATCATCAATTTTATAAGAATTAAAAATATATTTAAACGTTAAATATTTTTATGCTTATTTTTTGACACCAATATTTTTATTTTTATTAAAAATAGTTTATATACTAACGATATAAAATAAATTTATTTTTTAATTATAAAACACTTAAACTCATATCTATCATATTCTGAATTATGATTAATGGTAATATAATTAGACATTATTATATATTAATGAAGTTCCATATTTTTATATATATTTTATCTTAAGATGAAAAATAATTTATCTATTAAATTAATTCATTTATTGATATAAATTTTTATTAGTATGAATAATTTTATGTTGTTTATATAATTATTTTTTAATTATTTAGTGATGAAGTGCATATTAATTGTATTATAATATTGTAAAATTATTTGATATTTTATTTTAATTATGTCTCAATTGTTTTCTTAATAAACATTTAAAACAAATTTGAAAGGAAAATAAAATTTAAAAATAATTAATGGACATAACTTTATAATTTAATTTTTTAAAATGTTGGCTAAACTTATATATTTTAAATAATTTAGTAAACCTAATTTTATTGAAAAAAAGTATATTAAATTTAAGATACACATTTAACTTCACTCTAACATAATTATTATATTATTTGGGTAACATAAATCAAGATTATGTTTCACATGGTTGAATTGAAATATTTTTATTTATAAATATATTTTAAATTTCAAATATATTAAAATAAGAAGTTTTACAATATTTAAATCTATTAAAAAGAAAATAAAATTCAAAATAAGAAACATACATATTTTAAATTTGAATTTTTAAAAAATTGAGTAAGCATAAAATGAAAGAATAATCATTGATGATACGAATCATGGGTGTAGGACTTCACTATAAAACTTCTATAGCAAGGTTACAGGTATAGTATTCTTTATTCTTCTCGACAACTTTGTGAAACTTGTTGGTGTCTTTGATCAAGAATCCTTATCTTTTTCTTCCTAAATTACTGTAAACCTGCATTACATTACATCCATAAAAGATACTATCATTTTGATCAACTCTAGTTAAATTTCAAAATAATGACAATTGAAACAACATAAATATAAACAATATTATTTTGGTGGAACAAAAGATTATCCATAGTAGAAAAATAATATTAATAGAAGAAAGAGACTGGTTTGAATAATTTGAGTCACTTTTATTGGAAGATCAAAATATAAGATAAAAAAAAATAGATTACTCTACCTAAATATTTACCATATGTTTGAATTATATAATACTTTAACACTGTCCCACTGTTATTTTTTTTATTTTCCAAGTTTAACACAGTTTGTAATTAGATAGAGATTTTAATTATGTTATAAATTTAATTTTTTGAATTCAATAAAAATAAAAATTATTTTGATAATATTTATATATTTTGAAGGTTATTAATATATAATTATCTGAATTTAATAATTATACACTAACAATGTAAAATAATTTTCTACAATAAATTAGTTTGATTATTTTTATTATTTTAATTTTTTTATTTAATACTATAAAACTACTTTATACGTTTGTTGACGTAGTGTATCACATTTTCTCTAATTATATATGAAAAGTATAGTTTAAAAAAGAAAAATACATGATTGTTCAAACCTAATGAATTTTTATGGATATTAGAAAGTTTTTGTATTTGTGATTCATAATTAATTTACAAAATTGATTTGTTATGGATAATATTCATAAAAAGGAACTTATAATTCATTTGTTTGTTGAAATCTCTGTCCTCACTATAGCACAACAATTTTTTGTTGTTTGGGTTGGGTTTGTGACTTTGTGCGAGCTATGAACTTACTAAAAAATCTCTCCTCTGGCTAAGTAGAGAGTTTTCCCATCTTGATCTTCAAGTCTCTAATTGTGACCAATGTATTCTTCTAGTTAGTTGTGAAAGTTTGTATAAATTGGTTGAGGGCATCCTCTAACCTTGTTTCACGTCGATTTAAGACTTAGTGTTTAAGGTTTAGAGCTTAACACTTAGTCATATAATTTGTATCACTAGCTCAAAGCGAATATTCTATATAGTTTTGAGCGATAATAACTTTCAAATTATTTTCTCTTTATATTATATCTTAAAAAAATATTAAAAATACTTAATATTTAGACAATTAGATCTTAAAATAACATTAATTCTTGACTAAGTGTCTTGTAACTAAAAAAAAGATTTAGAAACATAAAATACATTAATAATTATTTAAATTAAATAAAAATTGTATGAACAAGAATTTAATCAATAATATTTTTGTTTAGGTTTAATATCTCTGAATTTTTAATTTTTATAATTAGGTTCTTAAACTGTATTTTTTTTTAAATAGAATCTTGATCATTTATATTTTTTAATTGAGTCTTTGTATATATTTTGTAGCAGTTTCAAATCCCTACAAAATAATAATTTGCGAATGTTTTACCCATTCAAGTGACTCAATTTTTTAAAAATTCATAAAAGATAAAAGACTTAATTATATATTTTTTAAGGATCTAATTAATTTTAAACAAATTTATAAATTTTATGATATATTAAACCTAAAAAAAACATGATTAGTTAAATTCTTGTTTTAAAGGATGTTGTATTGAAGTATAAATTTATTTGAAGTAATTTAATTTAGATGATTTAAAAATAATTACTCCAATATTTTTTAATTATAAAAATTGAACTTGACACGAAGGAGTTTATAATGCTCATACATTTTATTCAACTCTATTTTTAAAATATAGACCAATTTTTGAACTAGTCAAAACATTAGTTCAAAGTTCATTGATTTAATTATAGTCAAATTGATATTAATAAAATAACAATAAAATTTAAATAATGTATAAAGATAATATTGCATAAACATAATATCATAATTAATAATACTAAAATAAAAATATAAAATTATTTGATATATTTTTATTTTTTAAAGTGCATGTAAAAGTTTAAATATAATGTCAAATTTTAATTTTATTAAAATATAAAAATATATTAACAATTTTACATTTAGTGTTAGAAAATCTCAAATTAATATAATATAAAATATAAAATATCATGACACAAAAAATTATAAATCAATATAAATGAATAAATTATATCTATATAAAGAAAATTATTAAAATAATAACAACATAATTATTCTTATATATAATTTTTATTATATTTATTTATCATAAAAAAGTATTTTAAAAATAAAGTATTTTTTTGAAAATGATGGTTTAACCTGATTTTCTAAACTAATTTTAGACTGGTTCATCCAATTGTTGACCGATTTTTTCACATTTCGGTTTGTAGTTCTTCTAGATCGATAGATTAATAAATTCTTGATCTGAATGATTGAATCCAGACCGATCTAGTTTAACAACACAAATTTAACTAACCAATATAAACCTCATTTGTATTGATTAATCAAATTATGTGTAATTGTTGAGATTTCCGTTGAAGTACTTTTGTTATAATTGAAATTTAGTTTAATTCTATCAACGGTCTCAAACACGGCAAGTATACCGGCCGTTCAAGTAGTAAAAATATCGTATCCACAGGGATTAGAAGGTAAAATAAGCATTTATTGACTATTCGTGACTAAAGAATAATTCCAATTTATAGTTTGTCATGTAAATGTGAGATGAAGAGCATGACTATTGGAATGTTAAAACTATAAAGAGATTAGTTTTAGAATGGGAAAGAGTAGAAATGGGATAATGGTATTGTGAGGCTGTGGGGGTCAGATTTCACCGAACGTAACACTAATGTATCCTTAATCTCTTGTTAAATTCATTGCTTAGTCAACCCAATAGTTTACTCAAACCTAATCCCTTAGAGAAAGAGCCTAGGTGCGGATATTGAATATCAATCCCTTGAGTACCCAATACCTACACCCGCATTACGGGCTAGGGTTTAAGACTACTAATGGGTCAAGCTCTATCCCTAGATACAATCTCCACTAGGCATATGTTCCAGAACTAATTTCAAAGGTATTTCCCAATACTCAATGGAACCTTAAATCATGCAAAGGGTGATCAATCCAAAGCAAGCATTAAGCAAAGAAACAAACACAACAATGAATGAAACAACAAATATATATATCATTGAAAACGTAAGGATTACAATAGAGTATGTTGGCTACATCTAACCCCACAAAATGGGTGAAACCACTCAACAAAGAGGGCAAATACAAAATAGAGATGGAAGAGGAAGTGAAGAACCGAAGGAAAGATCCGCACACGGACGATCCCAAGCCCTGGGAATCCCTTCCGCAGCTCCTGGAGGCGCCCAATGTGAGAATGGGGGTTTCTCCCCCGAAAATGGCTTCAAATACGAGCTTGGGGAGTCAGATTAGGGTTTCGCGCCCGGCGCATAAGTCTTCGCGCCC